TAGGCTCTTGTGCTCACGGATCACTACCTGGCGAAATTACCCCCAACTTGTGTTTTGACGGATTTTTGCGCGCCACAGCGCCATAATGTCCCTGGGTCTGACTATTACCTGACAGTATGCTCACTCATACGGACAACATCTTTTCTTTTATACCTTTCATTAAAACGAAATGTTTTAACATTCCACAGAAGCTATGCTTGTATGCATATTTGATCACGCCTTTACAGGTGTGTCTCGTTTTACCGAGAATATACTATTTATTTATTTATTTATTTGTTCCTGTTGTCCCGGAATAGATCCACTGCTACCTTTTGCCACGGTCTGTCCGGAACATTATGCAGCATCATCGGTTCCTTCGTTTGTCGAATGTCGTGTGAACGGCACGCCTCACAGTTAGACACATGATCCTTGCTCTGACCTGTCATTCCTTGGCCAGAACACCAGTTCTCTTGCTCGAGTAATGGTGTAATTTGCACCCAGGTGAGCGCAATGGACATGCTCCAGCATCTCCTTTCGGAGAGAAGAAGGGATTAGGATTCGACTTTCCGTGAACAACAAACCGTCACAGAGTGTGAGTTCGTCCCGAAAATTGAAGTAGTGTTAATTCCTTCGGGAGCTGCTTCTTTGTTTCTAGCCACCCATTGAGGATAACGTCTCGCAAAGCTGCAAAAGTTTGGTCTTCCTCCGTGAAACGCCTTATGTCTTTCAAACGGTTTTCTGTCACTACCAGATGCTGCACCATGCTAACTGTCTCGATCTCTTCTAGATGATGTTCGGCCACTAGCGGATGTGCTCTCGACAGGATGTCCGCGATGAACATCTGTGTGTCAGGTGTGTACACAATGTCAATGTCAAAATTTTGGAGCCTGATAAGCATACGCTGCAGACGGCGAGGAACGTTATTCAGTGGTTTAGGGGCTATCGACACCAGCGGCTTACGATCAGTGTACGCGGTTGTCTTTCTTCCAAAGTTATATATCTGGTACAGTCTACCATCTGCCCACTATAGATCTTTTATATCTACTCTGATATTTATCAGACTTCCGCCAACTGGTATTTTCCTTGGCCATATCATTGTCCCTTATTTGTTACTTCTCCTCTTTCTATTGTTATTCTCCTACGTGGCTGACTCTCTAACTTGGTCACAAATGCTTGCGGTAAAAAGTGGAATATCTAATAGCCGTCTTGTAAACAAAGCGAGTAAAATGGGGGCAATACAGCGACCAACGTGACCATGCCGTGCTCCGTTAGGGTGATGGACGTATTTTCTTCTATGCGCCGAGAAATTGCGCAGCTGCAAGAGGAGCTGGCGAGTATGTAAGTGACCTTTAACAGCTTACAGCCAATAGCTAAGCGTTTAGTGGCTATTACAAGCCTAGTTCACCCTAACAATGTAATGGATGAAAAGTGCTCCGAGACTTCCATGCGCTTCCTCAATGCTATTAGTACAGAGGTCATGGACCGGATAAAATGCCTCACGGAGGTAGTGGTTTATAATGTGCCTGACCGTTTAAAAGTTCACACCATCAAGAAGGTACTGATGGATATCTGCGGTCTAGAAGGTCATTTACTCAGTAGCACCAGACTGAGGAAAAGAGCTATTTAAAGCCAATGTCCGGTGCTATTCAGGTTTGATACAGAGCGTTCGGCCCGTAAATTCCTGTCATACCAAAAAGACTTCCGGTCGCGCACAACCTTTGTCCAGTTGAAATTAGTGAACGCAAAGACAGCCATGCAACGCCGTTACGAAAAGCTTTTCGCATCCAAGCCTACTAATGAGCGGACTCCTGGAATACCTTCTGCTCCTCTGCAGGATTTTGTCACTCCGGAGGCCTACCACATAGTTGATTTAGATGTCTCAGAGGATGTAGCTCAAGGTGAGATCAAGCAAATGGTACAAAACCATTGCTCTCTGGCAGAAATGCTAAAACTGGAGGTTATGGATACCCATGACCCTAAGCGACTTTGGGAGATAAGTTGTTGTCCTGAGAAGAAACCCGGGACTTGTCCGCCTACATCCGAGTTTCCACTCGGTTGCACAGATCGTCCCAATGGACCAGGAGGGCAAGTCGCAGAGGCGTCATTCTGAAAGATGATCAACGCAGCAAGCTGCGCCTTGCCACCAGAAGTACCCCAATTTGGTCGGCGAGCATCTAGTATGTCACCTGTCTAGAACCGACACACGCCGGCTCCTCCAACTAAACGGCCTCGCGAGCAAAATACACCATACTGCCCGCCTGCTACGGCCATAAAATCCATTTCCTCGTCAGAAACAGCCAAGCCGGAAGCCGCACTGCACACGGGTACCAAAGGATGAAATACTACGTTTAGTACTATTGCGTTTAACGTTCCTGATGACACATCATTGGAAGTGTCCAGGAGCTGGATTCTTGAGGTCAATGGAATCCAAGAAAACCCACTAGAGGTTGTGCGACTGAACAAAAGAATAGGCAAATTCGCAGCACCATTCGAATTAAGTACTAGGGACGAATCGACTCTCCGAATTTTACTGACAAGTTATGAAAACTCACACCGTCCAACGAGCCTAATGACGGCAGATTTCGAATGTTCTCTTCGGCGACCGGGGTCTGATAGTACGCTCGCACCAGCTCGATCCACGGAACCACTCGAGCGCCACCTATACCGGTCGTGATATCCTGGATATAGGAAGTGGGAAATCGGTCCAGAACTGTCGCGCTCTTAAGCATGTGATAGCCCCCGCATGGCCGCCAGTCTTCTGACTTTTTCGACACCATATGAAAAGATGAAGACCAAGAACTGTTTGACGGTCGGATGATTCCAAGCTCCAGCATGTGATCTAATTCCGCAAGTACTATCTTGAGCTTACTCGCGGTCAGTCTGCGGGCTTTCGCAGAGACTGGCTCTTGGTAATTAAAAGGCGAAACCGCTCGGCAAACTTCTGAGAAACTTTCAAGTAGCGACTAGCAAACCGGTGAGTTATCACTAGCTTACTGCTGAGCGGTGCAACGTCACTGGATATTTTGGCGACGGAAAGTTTCGCAGTCTGATCTGTAAACTGTTGAGGTTTTAGCGTCAACAAGCGAATCGCAATGCTGAAGTTCCATCCCGTTTATAGGGTTTTGGAAGTCATCAATTAGGAATACTCCTTTGAATGATTGCCTCAGGCTAAGCTTGAGCACGCGCGAACCTTGGTCATAAACGGGTATCCTCGTTCTGTTGATAGCGCGCAAGTTCGTAGTCGCTTTGGTTAATCTCGGTCGGGTCGGGTGGGTGCACGCTCACTTCTGCACCAGTATCGACGAGGTAGCGAATTCCAGTGTTGAAATCGACGACGAAAATGTGTCGATTGCTTTGTGTCGAAACGGTACTTGTTGCGGAGCTAGTTTGCTTGCTCACCCGCTTCTCGTTAGCTTCTTTTACAGGCTTTCTGTCTGTATTGTCGATAGGAGTAGCAACAGCTTTCATTCTTGCTTACTGGGGATGGAATGCGTGAGGACGTTTGTGGCTTTGAGCAGCAACATTCAGGGCGGAACACGATGCGTTGATAGTCGGTGATCACAGAATCGAAGCGTCGCTTCAGCTTCTTAACCTGCTCAAGTAGAGTAACATGATCCTCGCCAGTTGTTGTAGCTTGCAAAATGTGGACCTAGTTGCCCCAAATCCTCTCATCGTTCTCAGAAGCTTGCGACAGGGTGGCGCTCAAGATGTTGACGATATCCTTGGGTGACCGATGTAGCCACAGTTCTTTAATGAATTTGTCATCTGGTGTAGTTAGCTTGGTGAGATTGCATTTTTCGAAGGAGCCAGAAAGGCTTTATTCTACTGCACTCTTTGTCTTCAAGGGATCATAGAATGCGCTCCCGCTCCGACATGCCGAATGGTTCCAAAACTGCTGTTTGGATACTATCGTGTAACTTCTGTTCGTCCTCGTCCAGATCGTCTACGGCATACGGTTGAGGGGCAAAAATCATTATATTAAACTTCGTTAGTACCGTTTCGACGCTGTGTATCTACTATTTGGATTCTATCTGCGCAAACCATGCTCTCGAGTGGTGTTCCCTTAATGGAGCGACTGTCGCCATTGATAAACTGACCATAATTTCCCGCCTAGTTGACTCCGACGTCGGCCAGTGGCCGAGTGGTCTGCACGCCTGGCCTGCAATCATAAGGTCACCGGTTCGAATCCGCGTAGAGGTAGGCATATCCGCGGTATACAGCCCACGCGCGACTGGTGGTGGTCGCGTGGCAGCTGATGCGTTATCATATTTCTCGTTGATTCCGACTCCATCGCCTTGGGTGCAAAAAGCGGTGAAATGCGGGAAATATGTTAACCTACATAGTCAGATGCTTTTAACAGCGAAAGAAGTAACAGGTAACTAATTTCTAGTGACGGTGATGGGAATTATTTCTATATCGGAACGCGAAGGCAACCAATCACAATTACTATGCCGGTAAATATGTACCACAAATTGTGGGCGCTGAGATAATTTGCGATATCTGAGCTACAGCTATAACAACACCGATGAACTATGGGATCCCACTGGAATCGGCAGCAAGACCGGAAGAGACTAGCGCTATGCATAGTCAATGGCGCGAATGTATGCCGAACTGTTCAAACAATCGCATGCAGGTGGGCACCTTTTATTTCCTGAGTACATGGTAAAACCAAATATTTTTTGCGAATCTTAAGCAACCGGGGGTGGTATCGTCGGGCCGTCACATGATTACTTTTGGCTTGATGTGCTGCATGCAAATAAACAGGGGCGCTATCGTCTTTGAAATGAGTTACATCAACAGCTGTCTGTGTACTTGTGTAGTTTCCAATGCTGTGTGGCCAGCGCCCTCCTCCGAACAAAGTCAAAAACGAGGTATTGGGACTCAATGGAACGTTCTTGACACTACAATTTGTCCAGTACATTTCTTCCCTGAATCGTTTTTGTATTGTTTGAAAGTAACATCTTTCTGTTGAGGGGCTTGTGCTTGCATCATTTTCATCTTTTTTTCTGGTACTCCGTTTTATGCTTTTCATCTGTTTCATCAACACTAGTTGGACGTCCCTCGTCGGCTCGACCGGTCTTTCGAGTTATCACGGTATCCTTCCTAAACTGACCAGGAAGTGGATTCATGGTTTAGTCGACAACTCTATCGATGCTCCTGGCGGTAGCATGAATCAACAATTTACTACCGCACTTTTGTCGTTTCTCTATCATTTGGCCTGTTACGAAGAGAATGTCGGTCCAGGTACGTTCATACAGAGATGGTTAACTATTTCGTTTTCAGGAAATACCCAGAATGCGACGCTCAACTCGAGTGGTGTTTTAGACACAATGTTGCAGTTAATCTCTTGGCACACCTCACGTAACGACTATTTGAGCTATGTCACGCGTGCTGTTCGGGTCACTGACCAAATACTGATGAGCATCCCTTTCAGTAGACAAAATGTTGTCGCTATTTTGGTCGATCGTCTGAGGTTTGAGGTCGAATTGGTTCTGAATTCAGCTTCAGAAGCCAGGGTGAGTATTCTTGCATTTTGCTTGTCATTTTCTAAAATTTTAACCTGTGTATTTTGATAACGAGTATGCATAATTCATTTTTCGGCCATCTACCAATTACTCAGGGGGCACTAGACCCTGTTTTACTCCGTGATCTTGCCAGCATGGTTCCTCATTTCAGTGCGGCTTATCTTCTCTCTGCTGCCATCATTAGATGACGGAGCATTCTATGCATCTCGCGGTCCTGTATCGTCAATCTGGCGAGGATACTACACACACTGTGCGGTTCCTTAATGCACCTGATACACCAACAATTTTACGTTGGTTTATAGTCTGTCATCCGTGCGACGAAGTGCAGTTCATCCACTCACTGTCATTGTGGTAAATCAAAAGGTAGCGGCAATCTTAAAAAACTTAAAAGTCGTCTAGGAAGTGAAATATAGAAAATCATTAGTAGTCAGGTGTAACAGTTACGGCTCGAAGACAATCGCACCACTAGTCTTGTCATTGTGCCCTATACGACTGGGTTTCTTGAACATTGCTATGGCCGCTCCTGGGGACGCATCCAAGATGACACAAACCAGCCAGACTGTTTTTTCTACTCTCTTATTATGTTATCAACAGAACGTCTCGGCGTCTCACTCAACTGTGTTTACTATCAGCTAAATGTGCATGTCATGGTAGCCGGCTAGCCGAACTGCACAACAACCTAAGCGCTTCGTTACAAAAGACGCGCACGCATTCCGTACGGACGAACTTTGCTATGGCTAGCTGTGGATCTCCATCAGACATTTATCGATACTTCTCAGCCATTGGTCCCTTAGCGTCCTCAACGCCCAGTGGCCACGCCGACCATTTAAACAACCACTAAATGTACTGTGGTACCAACTTTTCGTACTTGATACGAAATTTATCCTGTTTTATTTCTCATCACTCCAAGGATATATACAACGGACAAGTTGAGCACACGGCTTTGTGACTTCTACTGTTCTGATTGTTTTTTGAATCTTTTGTGGCTACCGTTACATCTTCCTATAGTTTGCTAAATATACCGCGGTCTCCACAACATGATCATATGCACTTTTGCGAGGCCGCTACGTTCCTGACAGAGGAGACGAGTTGAAAAGCATTAGGTTAATGGAACTATGGAGTTGCCCGGCCAAAAATACTGCATGTCACGACTCGTTCGACCTCATTTGATCTCATCAGGTGGAGATAGGTGACCTCGAACACGGGACCATTAAAATATTAACCGAAATATCTACCACTTCGCTATCGGGTCACTACGGACTATGCTTGTCACAACCCTTGCAATTCGCATAGCCGGTTGTGTAGATGCGTTAAGATCCAACACGTGTTGACCTTTGCGTTCGTTACGGTTGATTGGACATCGTTGTTGATTTCACTACTTTAGTTTTTTGCAGGGTTATGTTCATATTTAAATTTTTTGGGAATGGTCCTGCTAGCCGAATCGACCGAAGTTCACTACTAAGTGATTCGCTATTCAGATTGCGCGTCACAATCTATTCGCAGGAGTGCTTTGAAATGACCTCCACTTAATCAGTAACCAGTGTAACAAATGTTATTCACAAGCCTCTCATAACCCAATAACATTCACTACATCTTCGAACATGACTACTCCACACTGAGCCTCACATCGTAAAGCCTAGCTTCTAAGTCAGGCCTGCGGCGACATCTGGTGGTATGGGCACATGTGACTCTCCAAATCGCCGATCATATCAGGTAATCGCGATCCATCAAGCCTTCTTTTAATTATAACCAACACCACTCTGTCACTATCGACCTTAATTTGCTCGCTGCAACGAACTTTCATGTTTCTGTTTTTTCTTTGATCGTGCGATGAAAATCCCTCTTCATTAATTGTACTTGACATGATTACTATGTAGGCCTTAGGTAGAGAACTTGTTTGCTTACTTTTATTTGATTTTTCATTTCATTGGAAAGCTAACTCATATTCCCGATACGCATTGGTTCTTCCGGTCTTACACGCGGTTGTTGGAGATATTTTCTTGCTTTTTTCTCTTCCTATACTGTCTGATCTGTTTACCTAACCAGCTCTCCTGTGTAGCCATTGCAGTAGTCAGACATAGATTAGCACAGTTAGTGTACATCATTTTGAGCGTATGGTAGGAAGACGAAGGATGCTTGATGCAAACATTTCATATTGTTTCACTGGTACTTCCAGCAATGACTCACAGTTGTTTTTCGGGAATGGAGGCCGCCGTACATTCATTAGGAATGGATTTGCTACGCCTGCACTCAAAGCGACCAAATGCTGATCGATGGTTGTTTTCTTATGCAAAGCGCCTGCTTAATCCGTTTCGCTTGGAGTTATTTGGGTTTAACAGATTTTTGACTTGTGGTCAACAAATGCTTACTATTCAGAGAAACCGGTGTGCTCTCCACTAACACGGAGTTCGTGGTATTTATGCCTGTTTCCCACTTCCATGTTGAGCCCGCTTTAGGATGTCTAGCATTCGGCGGATTATCGGCTCTACCTGCATGACTAGTTCCGCCATCGCAGTCCCCGAATAAACATGATAGCGCGTTACTATCGATGACCTTGCTAATACATTACAAAATACCCTTCATCTTCACGCCAGCTATTAATTTCCATAACAATAATAATAATTGAAGCTATATGACAGACAGAACCGTCGAAAACCATGAACTGAGTGTACTTGATAAGTACAGAAATCACGAAGAGGAAAACAAATAAAAACAGTTGTTTCTTTGTTTTTCTAGTTAACACTTCTGTATTTTTGCCAGTCTAATGATTGCGGCGTTGTTCTGTAGAATAACTGCATAAGTTTGTACAAATCTTCTATTACGATCGTATCGGAACTATGTCTTCAAGGGTTTCCAGCCAGCTGTATTCTTCATTCTTGGCTCCACAGTTCTGAAGACGTACGGGACCGACGCCAGTTAAACTGGAAATATGCGCATGGACATTTTGTCGCCATGTGGTAGGCTGTCCGATAGATCCTATGTATTGCAAATTACATCAGTCGTAACCAGGCAAATAACCCATGTTGCGATAAGATGGCTAATTAGAAGAAGGAGATTAACCAACCTTCAGGCATTGGAGGGTTCAGCGTCGATGTTAATAAGCAGAGGTCAGTGTGACTTCTTTTTCATTATCACTTGTGGGATTCTAAAATTTAGGTTACTGTTCTCTTCTTTCGATATTGACAGCTTGTTTCTTACCCGCTGGAGTTTAGTGTTTTAATCTTTACATGTTTCAATCTTTTGTTTGGTGCCTAAAGAGAAATTGACCATAACCTTTCATCCTGCTTGTTTCCCAAGCTGATAATAATGCTTCTACCGACACCTATTTTCCATTCGCTATTTAATACTTTTGACGTTTTAAAACCATACGTCCTACCATACTCTAACGACAATACAAAGATGCTCTTTTCAGTGTTTTTTTTTCACTTACTGATTATTCTACCACATCTCAAACGGTTGGATATCACCACACCCATGCGCAATCAAATGTGCTAACTCGCTCACTCTTGAATCTTCACATCTTCGCTCTTGAAAATGAGATCTCTCTTTTCACTTTCTAGGATCCGACTGCTTCATGTCCCTTGTTGAACACTCAGCGATCCGGCTTGATGAAATCGATTTTGAACCTTTTGAAGCGTCTTTGCCTGGATACAGAGTGGGGCGAAGTGATGCATTCCGTTATGGAGGGTACTTTGCCTGACATCCTTCGCCAAATTTTTCTCAATGGATTTACCCACTTTACCCCACATCTGGCATTGTTTGCGATGGAGAGCATCACTAATTACTTATACACCTACCCTTCCCGAATTTCAACCATGCAGGTAGGTGCTCAATTACGCACAACATTTCGCTTAAGGTCGATTACGCGAGCATATTTCGTTAGGCTTCCGGTTTTTCAAATAATTTTGACGTTCAGAGATTATGACCATGATATGTAAGCATTCAGTTCTGCGAAGAAATTTATTTTAGACAATGCTCATTAGACTTATACATACATAAAATTGGTTAAAACACTGCAATTGGCCAAGGAAGCTAGGCCACCGTTGTTCAAGTTTAAACAAGGTGTTGTTCGTCGATCCAATTTCCCAATCAATGATAGTCACTCACCCAGGCGGGAACAACTGAGTCACTAACTGTGATCGAGGTGAAGGAGGTTCACAGCGAAATTACTACCACGACAAAAGAAACGCTTGCACTATCATTTCCTGCTTGCACAGTTCAGGTTGTATTAATCTCTGAAGTATTATCTTGTCACGACATAGAGAACTTCGAACGCTTCTTTAATCACAAATTGATTCCCGCTATCTACTAAATGTTCCAAATTTAAGTTATAGATACTTTTAACTGTGTGATTCCACAATGCTACTGGTCAGTGTTCTCTTATTCGTTTCACCAAGCATCTGGTTGTGAGCCTGAAATATTTTACACCACAGATGCAAGTAAATTGATGTAGAAAAAAGGTTCAGACAGGACCTGAGGTCGATTCTTAAGACCTTGGGTAATAAATGTGGCAGTTCCTGCAACAACATGCGAGTAGACAACAAGGAGCGACTGGGCTACTACATTTGCGTCTCTTGTTCACTCAAAGGGAGATTTTTGAATGGGACTGCAGTATTTTAATCATTTTTATATGTGTATTAGCCTGATGAAAAGCGTCAAAAAAACTTCGTGGAGTGTAGTGTTTTCGAGCGGACAACACCAAAATTTCTTACTTGTCAAAAAATTTCGTCGCTTAGTTGAATGCTTGTATTCATAACGTTATTGCAGCCGTTGACTGTTCCTCGATGATTATATCTATTTCTACTTTTCACTACCTGGCTATGTTCGACCTATCGACTTGTCTGCCGCCACTTATTATCGTTCGGTTTTTCGCCCCATCCTCGTTTTAACGTTTTTTTATCCCCACTTTTTCATGGAACAATACTTGCTCACTGTCATATAAAGTAAAAGCAGTACGCCGGTCCACGGTACCGACGCTTCGTTGCCACGCAAGCACCAACAGTTGCACATGCGCTAAGGATACTGCGATGGTCGCCCAGTCCCCTACGTGAGCTCGAACCCGCGCTCTTAGATTACATGGCTGAGTTGTTATCCTTTAGGCTACCGGCCGGCCGCTCACTGTCATACCTACAAACCGCTCTACTTAGGCGGCCTGTCACGCTGGTGTCTACAAAGCTAAGCTGTGTACAGAAGTTTGCGCTTTACTTGAGGTGTGCCGCTTATCGTCGCCTCTATTCGTCTCTAGTTTATCCTGTCCTTTCCGGTTTTCTCCACTAAGTCCCATCATTTACGTTGGTACGTACGAGTCTCCCACCGCTTAGCGCACACGCTTTCATTGCTTGATTGATCATTACTCATTTTGGTTACCACTTCCAACTTTCCTGCATCCGGACCACTCATTACGAACATCTTTTCTCCCGTATAGGATAAGAATGTTACGACCGATATACTGACTGCTTTAGCCCGTCAGCCTTTGCCACAAAACCGGGACTTTCTGGTACAATTACCCGGTCTGTTCAACACGCTCTCCTTGAATGCACGAGGGATCGAAGCAGTCCAAAATAGTGGTGTATTAAATCAGTATTTGGAAACTTTGGTCTCGCCTGAATATTTGGGGACTATGAAGACAAAGCGTGTGAGGGATTTTTTGTCTCAAATTCCATACAATCTGACTTCAAGTACCGGACAAAGTCTATCCAACAGTTTGACCGCAAGTCAAATGAGCAACGCCATTCAAGAACTCCTACGATCCCGTAGTGAACTCAAGCCTACTGTCTTTCAAAGCCTAGTTTCCGTAAGTTTTTATGTTACACGCATTACTTGCTCCCCTAATATTCAGCACCCATTCTTTTCCGCTCCCTTTCTTGATTACGATGCTCTCTAGCTGATAGCGCAATCTTCTGCCAGATCAGCAAGGTAGGGTCGAAATTCATGTATATGGCTCGATTCACTATACATTCCTGTGATTTGCCATATTATTCCCAACTATGGATTCCTTCCATGAGGTTCACTTTTCGCTGGTACTTTTGTTTTTGGAGTGCCTGTGATTCGCTTAGGCTAGGCGTTCATAATATTCATCAGGGAGTCTGGTAATTAAAGTTGAGACCGTGGGCTTGGTAACTCTCCCACGCAGTTGCGCCGTTTTTTCACACACACGGTAGATCGACCGTGCAGGTGATGCTATCTACTTACGTAATCCTTGTCGTCATCCCTGTCACATGCCGCGTTTTACTCAATCGTGGATGGGTCTCTGCGATTCTCTTCCTTCACTACGTTTTCCGCATCGTTAAACTATTAGTTTCCTGCGCATATTTGCTTGGCACATTGTATGTCAGATGTAGGATTTTCATTTCCTCCGCCATCAACCAACCATCAATTTAATGTATGTAATTTACCTGTTCCATTACTCTTCGTTCACTCCTACAATATCTTTCATATCTTTTTGGATACCCTAACTAAAACTAGTTCTAAACCACATCCTCTGAGTGGACCAACTAAATGTTAACAATTCGTGCTACCAGGTGCTCATTTTCTTCCCAGTATGTCTGCAACCATGGGTGAGATCATAGCTGTTTTCACTTCGCGATGGAAGTTAGAATTTTTGGGCACTTTCGCATCAGCGTGCTTTTGACGATAGTCTCTTTTTGGCGACGTTTGTCGGATATTCCAAGGGAATATGCAACTCTAGCACTTTGGTTCCCATTTTAATAATGTTTACTAAACAGGAATGTTTTCATCTCCCGAGTTTATTAAAATTCCAGTAATCAGTTCGCGCTATGCTGACTGTTGCGGCACCAACTTATCCGAGAATGGCAAAGTACCCGCGAGATGTCTTCGAGGTTAACTGAAAAGTAACAACATTTTTGTCACACTACAAACTGTTGAATATGGATGCCTCACGTACACAACGCACATCAGTACAAGCTTATCGGTAAATCCCGATTATGCACCTTAACTCTCCACTTATGCCTCTTTGAGCGCCCGCAAAGTGTCCACTCTCTCGGCTCAAGCGCGCAGCATGCAACTTTGATAAGGTTTCTCACTCTTCAACCGAACTCAGTCACGAAGCTAGCACCATCAATGTGTCAGCTGTCACTGACAAACAGCTGATTGGAATCGTCACCGATGCATCATGAAGCTCCTAGGTTCACCTTTTTCGCCTGAATTTAGGAGCTTGAATTGGGATGGGATTTTTTGGATTGGGAATATGTTCTCAGTAACGTTCTGTCGAAATTTCGTAATTCCTCTATGACCTTGGTGTATTGCACCACCTACATTCGATTTGTAAGGTATGACCGGGTTTCGTCAGGGTCGCGGTTGCATCGACCACATCTTGCATCAATTGTTGAAACACCATCACACATATCGGCGGCCCACCGTAGTCGTGTTCCTCGACATCAAATGTGCCTTCGATTCGGTTGATCGATGTGCCCTTTGGAATTGTCTACTCAGGAAAGCTGTGCCCGTGAAATATGTAAATATTATCCGAGCATTATACGCGCGTAGCACGAGCAGAGTGAGGGTTTACGGCAAACCGTCGCCACCCTTCAATATCTCCAGCGGTGGGAGACGAGGATACCCGTTGTCACCTTTCCTCTTCAACTTCGCTATTGACGAAGTCATGGAGATTGCATTTACAGGACATGGCTTAGAAGGTGTGGAGCTACTCCCAGGAGAACGACTTCTTGACTTGGATTATGCAGACGACATTCCCCTCATCTGTGACAGCTCCCAGACGTGCCAAGTCTCGCTGGACGCATTAGCACTGGCTGTCCGCCGATTCGAGCTTTGCTTTGCACCATCGAAGTGCAATCCGTTCCTCCAAGATTCGCATCGATCGCCTCCTGCGCTGACTCTTGGTGGGCATCTGCTAGAAGTCGTTCAGCAATTCTACTACCTTGGAAGTTGGACTTGGAGCATCCGCCGGCGGTTGGGTTGTTACAAGCAACCTCTATTCATTACCTGGGAAGTTGTATCAGCGCCCTTGGGATTGAAGATGAGATCATGAACCGTATAGCAAAAGCTCGAAGTGCTTTTGCTAACCTTCGCCACCTATGGCGGCGGCGCGACATCACTCTCGCCCTGAAGGGTAGAGTGTACAATGCAGCAGTACGTTCGACCCTACTGTACGGTTGCGAAACCTGGCCCCTAAAATCGGCGGACATGAACAGGCTAGTTACGTTCGACCATCGATGCCTTCGCAGTTTGGCTCACATCTGGTGGGAACACCGCGTGAGTAACGAGCATGTTCGACGCCTTGTTTACCGCACAGAAGAAGGAACTGAACCGCTCAGCACCGTCATTTCACACACCAGGTTCCGATGGTTGGGCCACGTGTTGCGCATGCCAGCCCACCGACTCCCGCGACGTGCCTTGTTTGCTCACCGGGAGTGTGGATGGGAGAAGAGGAGGGGTGGTCAAGCGATGACTTGGTCGAGAGGAATGAAGGCCCTCACTTCGGAGCTGGCCTCGGTTGGAGCGTCACAGCTCCCTGATTAGAGTCCAAAAGACCATGAGCACGTTTGGCTGGATACACTTGCTGACATGGCAAGGATCCGACCTCAGTGACATTCCTGCAGTGAGTTTCTTTGTCTCTCCCCATCCCTTTTAACCTCCCCCTCCAACAACGGTCTCATTTCGTAGCGTAATATAACTTTACATAATAATTTTTCTTGTTGTCTAATGGCCGGCTGGTGGCTTACCGGAACGATGCCTATCCGTTGCTGGTAGCTCAGCTGGCATGCAACTGTTGTATTTATTTTCCTTTTCCTTTATGTATTGCGGCACAGTAGCTGAGATGTTTCCCACTTCTAGCTAACGTGTATAATGATGATGATGATGGTGAATGTATGACCTGAACCAAGAGAGCGGGGGTTCACCTATCCCGTATGACAAATTTGCATGAAGCACTCGGTCAAAGATCTTTTGCATGTGGAGGTAAATTATAGTAGTCGACTTACCAAGATCGTGCAAAACAGTTACATTGTTCAGGAGTTCCAGGTGGCACGTAATGCAAGACCGATTATTTAAGAAGCCGTGTTGAGAGTCGTTTATTAGCTTTTTGATAGTAGGAATTCGGCAGTTTTAGCTTTGGTATGTTGCTCCATGATTTTTAATAAGATCGATGTGTGGCCTATTGGGCGACAATTTTTAAGGTCGAGAAGTGAGCCTAGTTTATGTCACGGCGCAACTATATCCTCCTTTTACTGAGCTGATACGGTGCCGGTATGCAAGGATAGATTAAACATGCTCAGCAATAGCAGGAAGGTGTCATTCCCGCCCATTTTCACAACTACGGAAGTAATATTTTCTGAACCCCCGAAATATGAAAATTTTGTGCACTTTATAATTTTTTTATATCATGCAGTCCAAATCTGATGCCGTTGAGCTGATCGACCGTGACAAGTGGCAAGACCATGCATACGGGTTCGATAACCAGGTTGAAGGAGACGCAAAAATATTTTTTGAACCTTGCATTAGTTTCAACAGGGTCTGCTATGTTGCAGTTATCTGGTGTTGTGTGGGAGATTGGGCCTTGAATACGCTTGGTAGTTCTGCTATTTAATAGACTGATCAGTTCACGGTTTTGAATCGACTGTCGAGAGCCCGTTTTTCTTTATCGATTTGTTTCACTTGATGAGTCAGCTTCAGTGACGTAACCAAATTATGGTGTTGCATTACGAATGAGGAGTTATTCCTTTTGAGGTGTGCGCAAGTAGTTTCTTCGAGTTTATTAGCTGTTTTTCGTGAAGCAGACTTTTCGCGACCTGAGCGATAATGTCTGTTTGATAGGAGCCAGAGCGTCGAGACGGAGATTGATGTTGTTATATAAAGCATCACATGCAGCATGTAGATCGTCGGTGAAGAAGAAAAATTCCCACTAAGCATGCCTGAGTATATTAGCAAACGGGTCCGAATCAATTTATCCACAGCGCCTTGAGAGCATTTGTGGCTTGGGTGCATTCGTTCTTAAGAGTCGGGTGTTATTTGTAAATACAAAGGCGACCACCATGTGTTCGCTACCAGGAAAGTGTTCCAGAACATCAGGGGAATCATGTATTAGGTCAGTGGTAAATATCAGATCTGATATTGTTATAATCTTCCCGCTAGACGCGATTCCGAAATAGGCACTTTACTGCTCCACAAAACTTCTAGCTCAACCGAAGAAAAAAGCAGAACGCCAATGATCTTGGCAAAATAACATGTTAACCGCTGTCAACAAAACATGGTACAACTAAAGCAGACGTTGACTGTATTCATAGGTCTCTTACTGAGCTTCGACTTCTGCAGTAGGAAGGTCAACCGTCTAGGTCAGTTGTTCCACATAGTTTTGGCCGATCTTCAGAGGTTGCTAGTCACGTGTAGGCACTCGGACATTAGAAATCGATGCGATAATCGATAACAATCGATTAATCGTTGCAATAATGGATTTTCCGGGGAATTCTTGTCTCTTCCTGGACACCCCACTTCCTCCTGAGATGGCGTCCGCCGTATATGATGAAAGCCTGGGATTAACTTGCAGTCTTCGGACGGTGTTCTCTACCTGTCGGTCCATCTCCTTGGCTGAATTGCTCGAGAAGTGGGTTCCGATGTCTGTGGTCTGGTTTCCTTGCTTGACTGGGAGCAGTCGTCCACGGGTTCCTTTGGCAAGTTGAAGCTTTCCACAATACCTCGAACGGGAGATCGACAGTCTTTGCTCCTTCTGGTTGGCACAGCGTTGGCCGTAGCTGGTTTGCATGCCGTGCCCAGGCCTGTATTCCGACGATCACATCATACATGACATTTCTGCGCTTG